CGACATAATCCATGGTGGGTTCGAGCTGTGGGAATTTAACACTCTGTGGTTACTCACTTACTCTAACCAAAAACATCCATGAGTTGTAGAATCCAGTTCATCATTTTCAATTCCTCTTTGAGATCCACATGTCTAAGATAGTTCAATTATTACTGCTTTCTAAATCATCAAAAACAATTTTAAACTAGAAGGCTAATATACATTTCCAAATTGTCAGAGTTGCATTTATCAATTGTTTCTGTTAAATCTTAAGGTGGACTTCGATTAGGAAAACTAAATGCTAAACACATCAGGCACAGAGTTTCTGATATTTACTGGTGCACCATATTGTACACAGTACATACGCTCACTGGGGACTTATCTTCTACAAGTTTGAACCATAACGTCTCCTATGAAACAGTATGGGTTTAATGCTTCAATGTGCATCTCCACCTTCTGATTACCTATCGTCTTTTTCAAAAAGCTCTCATCCTACAATGGCAAATCATCAGCAGATAAAGGGTCCATAGTTTGATTAATTAGATGGTTTGCAGTGTTAATCTCAACTAACCTCATTTGCCAAGACTCAATGTCATTGACAAAAGATGGAGGCAAAGCAGCATAACCATCTCTGTTCTTCTTTTCTTCACTGCTTGTCCACTATCAAGCCTGCCCAACTCTCTAACATCAGCTGTCCTAGCCAATACATTCTTATGAGCATTCAAAATCCTCTCTCCTGATATCAGCAACTTTTTTAATTCGTCATAACTCACACCTCCTTTACAAACTAACCTAAAGTAATCCAAATCCTCCTCATAATTGGCACTCACATTTACAATAAAATACTCATCCAAATTGAACCCAAAAACGTCCAAAACCACCAAATTTCCTCCTCGTTGACCTAGCCTTCAACTCCACTAACCTAAATGAGGAGAGGCATATTGTATACCAAGTTTTTCAAGTTAACATATTTCCCTGAGGGAGCAGATCCCTAGACATTTAACAGCATCTCCTTGAGCCCTCGATGCATGATCCTGCACATGCTGATCACAGCATAGATCCAGGCAATCTCCTCGATCTCAATCTCAACCCCATAAACGTCCACCACGTGCGCTACCGTTAACAACATCTCCTTGAGCTCTCGGTGCCCAGTCCTGCACATGCTGATCACAGCATAGATCTAGGAAATCTCCTCGATCTCAATCTCAACCCCATAAACATCCACCACATGCGCTATCACCAATGCCACCGTCAGCAGCAGCCTCTGCTCAGTGTGGGGGTCGTAGACCATGGGACCCTAATGGCAGTAGATAAGAAAGAACATAACGAGTCCATTTCATTAATCTTTTTGCTAGTTATCATCCATCTCTTACACTACAAATCAGTAAAAAAACTAGGCTTAATTGCAAATAAATACCCTATAGTTTCAACTACGCTGCACTTATAAGTTATAACCCTCACTTGTTTTTGGCAGCACTGCCACTTATTAAGGACTCACTTATATAGCCTCACTTGTTAATGGCAGCGCTTATATACTTAAAGTTTTTAAAACTTGCACTTAAATACCCTGCATTTTTAAACCTTGCACTTAAATCTCCTGAAATTTTTTAAACTTGCACTTAAATACCCTCAAGTTTGCATAACTAAGGGTATTTAAGTACAAATTTTAAAAACTTTAGGAAATTCAAGTGAAAGTTTTAGAAATTTTAGGGTATATAAGTGCTGCCAATAATCATTTCTTGGCTAGTTCATCTCACAAACAACTTCAAAAATCATAAGTTCATCAAGTTCTCATTTCATTACACAAAAAGGGTGAAATGCCTAAGCATGTCTTATCTACTTTTGATTTTACATTGCTGTTTACCTCGTTTTTACAGGCACCGACTCTAACATAATACTCAAATGTGAGAAACACCATCATTTTGCAAGATAATTGCTATAGATGGAAAGACACCAGTATCATTAATCAAAACAATGACATGACATGATCTAAAACTAAAAGATGTGAAATAACAAAAAAACAATAACTACTCAAGCTGGTAAGGAGCAAATCATATACTATTCCAACACAAATCATATCTATGTCTTTGCAAAATGAATTACTATATCAAAAGAATGTACACATTGGCAAGTTGCACGACCTGACCTGAACTTCGCAATTGACGGTGGCAGCATAACAATGATACAGTTGAAAGAAACAACCTGATCTTTGGTGCCCCTAATGGACATTTATCTCTCTGCACTGAGTGAGCTCAACGAATTAAAAACATGCAGGTCAAGCAACCTATTATACTGTCCCTCTTCAATCTCTTCCTCGTCTACTCGATGAAGGAGTAACAATTCAATAATGCAATCCTCCCAATCAACTCCTTTGATCCCAACTTCCCCTCCACTCCACTTCTTACATACTGCCGGCTTCGAAAGGCTATCATCCTCCAATGGCAAATCAGCAATAGGCAAAGGATCCACAGTTCGATTAATTCGACGCTTTGCAGCCTCAATCTTCAATTTCCTCTTTTCTCGAGACTCAATGCCATTGATAAAAGATGGAGGCAGAGCATCAAAACCAACATCTCTTTCCAAAACTTCCTGTAGTGACAATTTCTTGCCCAAATCCCATCTCCCCTCCCAAGAATCCCACGAACCTTGGTCCTCCAACTCCCTTCTTGTTTTCCTTCTCTTCACCGCTTGTTCATTATCAAGCCCACCAGCGTCTCTAACTTCATCAATCTTAGCCAATACATTGTTATAAGCATTTACAAGCCGCTCTCCCGATATCTCCACATTATGAAATTCCTCTCCGCTTGATCCCCCTTCACAAACTGCCCTAAAATACTCAGAACCCTCCTCTTCCTCAGCATTGGAATACACAGTCAAATACTCATCCAATTTGAACTCAAAACCCTCGCAAACACCAGAGTTCCTCTTCACTGACCTCGCCTTTGACTCCATTAGCCTAACCAGGACGGGCATATTGTGCACCAAGTTCTTCAAGTTAACATCTTTACCCCAAGGAAGCAGAGCCGCAGCGACCTTAAGCAGCGTCTCCTTCAGCTCCCGGTGCCTCATCCTGCACGTGCTGGTCACCGCATAGATCTCCTTAGCAATCTCCTCGATCTCGACGCCAACTCCATTGACCTCCGTCGTGAGCGCCACCACCGTCGCCACAGTCGGCAAAGGCCTCCTCCCCGTCATCAAGAACCACTTGGTCATGCACTGGATCAAGAACCTCCCCATGGCAATCAGCTCCTCCTTCTTGTCGGGTTGAACCTGGGCGAAGCAAGGGCAGGTCCTGACGGCCCGGTCGAGGGCGCCGGCGGCATCGAAATCGGGGAGCTCGACTCGAGAAGCTCAGATCCGCAGCAACAATCCGGGAGATCTGGTGGGCCCTCGCATGCGGCGGCGGCGGCGGCGCTCGTGGAGGAGAGGGGGAGGGTGGCGTCGGGAGACGACGTAGGAGGAGGCGGAGACGAGGAGGGGAACACAGTCTCCGGCGCCGAAGGAGGAGGAGGTGAGGAGGGAGATGAGGGAGAGGACCTCGTCGAGGAGCGGGCGGAGAGGCCGAGGCGGGAGGTGACGTCCTGGATTAGGGTTTTGGGTGGTAAGAGCTTGCGCTGGTGGTAGGTGAAGTCGAGGAGATGAAGGCGGAGGAGGTGGACGTGAGTTAGGGTTCTGGAAGGAGGGACCGAGGTGAGAAGTCGGTCGAGTTCTCGCGGCCCGCAGAGGAGCACACCACGGCGGATGTGTCCGGGTCCGTAGATTGTGGGCCCTCGCCGCAGTAAGGCAGCACACGTCGGCGGCCCGACAGTCATCTTTTATTATTTATTTTCCGATTTTGGTTTGGGGGCAGGCAGGGGGGGAGGGTGGTTTGTCGATAGAGGAAGAGGCGTATTTATAAGCGCACGAATATTCCGCCGTGCCGGAAATTTGGTATTCCAGGGCACGCCTATGGCACGTGCTTATGCCTTTTTGATCCCTCTTTTTTTAACCTGTCGGTTAATTGTAAGTAGGCCCCTGTATTTCTATTTTTCACAATGGACTCCGTGAGTGAATTTTTTGGACAAATTTTTAGAACCGTCCTATTTGCAAACATATTCCCAAAAAATGACTCGTTTCAACTTTATTTGTCAAAACTGACCTGCTTTCAACCCTGGGGCTGAAACCAGGTCGGTTTTGACGAAAAAAGTTCTCAAACTTCACGGGACTTGAAGTCCCGTGAGGTTTATTAAAGTGACCAAAATCTCACGTGGTTCTACTTCTAAAACTATGCATTAGCCCCTTGACTTCTCAACAAATTTACACAAAAACGTATATGTACTTACTTGCAGCTAACTAGAGGGTACACTAACATGGGGCCACCAATCCCATCCTTCAAAATCACATCCTTTAAAATATTCTACTTGCTGCTAACTAGAGGGTACACTAGCACATGCCTCGGTCTCAACCATCTTCACACGTGTGAGGAACTCCACGTAACCCACCTCCGCGTTGAACTCCAACCCGCGCACATCTCGACCGCTTTCTGCAAGGAGGAAAATAAATTCAAACAAACTTCACGGGACTTCAAGTCCCGTGAAGTTTGTTTGGACTACGAAACTTCATAGGACTTGAAGTCCCGTGAAGTTTAGCAGCTTGGTTAAATACCTACTAAACTTCACGGGACTTCAAGTCCCGTAAAGTTTTATAAGTTTTTTCTTCAAAACCGACCCAGTTTCAGCCCGATGGTTGAAACTGGGTCGGTTTTGAAGAATATTTTGAAACTAAGTCGTTTTTATGGTTTATTTTCGCAAATATGACGGTTTTGAAATTTTGTCCAAATTTTTTTTTTGGTGCGTTTTTCTTGTAAACTATCTTAAAATAGAGTGATTATACAAGAACCAACTTCAAGTTCAATTATACAAAAACTACTTTTAAAGAGGGTTCCAACTGCAATTAACCACTTTGCCCTATTTTCAAAATACCCTTAAAAAGATGTGTGTCGGACATGTAACATGCTGTCATAACACTATAGAATTTTATTCTAGTTCTACTTCTAATTGGCTAATGTCATATAATTTTATCCACAAATTGCTCCTAGGCAATTCCGTGTTTTGCAGTTCTCCTTGAACTCCCCACCCCCCCCCCCACCCCCACCCCCCACCCCCACCCCCACCCGCGATATGTCATTTTGGCTAACGGCATTGAGACAGTTAGATTAAGCGTATCCGAAGGAATCTTTTTTTCTTGGGTTGGATGGTGTGGAGTGGGGGGAGGACAATAAGTATTTATTTATCTAAAAATAAAAATAATATTATAAAACAATTTTACCTAGTGGGATATACTCGGTAGTTAGCACACTTTATTAGTTTAACTATTTCAAAACAATGCTTGAAAATTTGTTTGTAGAATTTTACATTGATGTGGCTGACAAGGATCTTTCTATAGATAAGCTCTTCGAATACCATCTCGATTTTTGTGATGATAATTTAAGATATTTTGTCGAAGACCTGGATCCACCAAAGGATCTTTCAAGATCACTGCATCGCCTTGATTTGCACTACGTTATAATTTCTCAAGATTGTTTAAAGTGGGAGTAGTTGGAGGCTGCTCCATTTGGAGATTTTCTCTTGAAATATTTATATATAACTAGAAAAAGTTATGCAATATAATCAATATCAAACTATTATTATAAATGTTAATATTTTGTTTTGCTTATATTTACTTACTAAATCTTATAAATGACTAATATTCCTTCCTGAAAATACCCTAGAGAGGGGAGGGGAATAGGGTAATTACTAATCTAATTCGATATTAATGTCAAATTAAAATTTATTAACTAATATCCTAGCAATTATGATATACAACAAGTTATGTGCAAGGATATGTAATTAAACAACGGGCGATATAAACATGAACACAAGATATAATAGAGATAGTGCACAAATGACAATCGCAAAAACACAAGGCAAGTGATCACGGAGTTAGGTCGACCCACGGCCTACGTCTCCGCTCCTCACCCTCGAGGAGAATCTCCACTATCTCAAAAATAACTACACAATTTGGTTTTCAACGCTCACCGATAATGTTTACAATCTCACACAATTGCCAATACACAATACACTCTTCTAAGTGTTGGCCTAGCTCGTGTCATCTTCCTTAAGTGCTCGAAATTACTACCTCTCCCTAGGATTTACAACCGGCGCCACTCCTCTTGGAATTGACCCTATCTCTCACCAACCACTTCTCTAAGTGTCCTTGTATATTACAATGTGTTCTCTCAATAATTTAAGCATAAATACAAAGAATTTGTTCTCTAACAAGAATGAGAACGAAATAAAGCTCACACTCAATGAATCACTCACCACAACCAAAATTATACTTAATGTGAAATGCTAAAAGCTCAATAGGTTGTGTGTGCAATCATGGAGTAAAATAAAAATCTAGCTTAATGATAATCAAAATATAAATTGCTAGAGATTGAGTTTAGTAAAACTTCTCTGAAATCAAGAGAGATAGAGATATGAAAATTGAAGCTCAAAACCAAAATGATCTCCTCCTCTTGTGAAGCTCTCTTCACATAAACAACACACTTGATTTTCTTAAAAAACTCTTAAACGAACTTGCAAACTTGTTTAAAAATTCTTCTTAGTTAATTACTAAGTGTTGAGTATAGAAGGGTATATATAGGTTCTTAAAATAAAGCCCAAAACCAGAGAAAACCCCCCAAAACAACAAAATCCCTGAAATTTTGGAACTAGCCATTGGCTGAAACTGAGAAACTTTTCAGTCGACTAATGAGCTAACCGTTGGATGAAACTGAGAAACTATCGGTCGACTGAAAATACTGTTCAGTCGACTGATTGAGGTCGGTCGACTGAGCAGAAACTTTTCAGCAATTGCAGAATAGTTCTTCAGTCGACTGATGCATAGTATCGGTCGACTGAAAACACTATTCGGTCGACTGAAAACACTATTCAGTCGACTGAAGAAGATTGGTCGACTGAGCAGAAACTTTTCCTTAATTACAGAGCACTTCATCAGTCAACTGATGAACAGTATCAGTCGACTGAAAACATGCACAACCTAGTTTTGAACAGAAAATCTGAATTTTAAAGTGGGTTTAAAAATAGCAAATAAATTCTAAAATTTATAAACCTTGGGGAAATGTTATACGTGAATATAAATATATTAGAAAAGAAATTTTTGAAATATCATTTCCCGTTTGCGAAAACTCTGTAGGCATATAAAATTGCTTATAGGTCCCTTAGCTCAGCTCGGCACGAACCGACAAACCAACGAGGCGACGAGATCGACGAATCGCACGCAAGCAACGGAATACATGCATTCGCGTGCGGGATCAAGCCAAGTGTTCGAAGAGTCAACGAGTCATCCAACCGAGAGTGGACTCGGACGAATCACGATCGAATCAAGATCAGTTTCGGACTCAGACTCAGAAGTGGATTTACTGCCTAATCGGGATCCGGATTTACTGCCAAATCAGGTCAACGAATCAAGTCTGGATAAATCAACCACAGAACTGAATCACAGATAGAACCAAGAGCGGAAAACGACGGAACAACACACCCGGAGGGGCTCGGCTCAAACCGAGCCACCTCAAGGTGGCTCGGCCAAGGCCGAGCCACCTCAGGGTGGCTCGGCATGAGCCGAGCCACCTTGAGGTGGCTCGGCCCAGTGCCGGCCACCCAGAGGTGGCCGACAGATTTCTGTGCGCGGGCACAGTAAAGAGAGCCTATAAATAGGGTGTTCGAGAGGATCGGATCTCAGATCTACGCAGGCATACTCCGGATCTAAGCTTGGTCTTAGATCCCGAGACTTGAGCGATTGTTTCCTTGGTGAATCAATCCCTCCCGGCTATTATTTCCTTCGTGGAATAATACCCGTCGTACTGCGTAGATCCGACCGGATCTAGATCTCGCGGTGGTCCATGGCAAATAACCCCGGCGCAGGCAAAGAACCCACCAAGCGAGCGACCGCAAAACAGGAGCTCGCGATTCGTTCGACAAACAAGGAAACAAAAGTTGTAATCTTTGTTTATTTTTCTTTGATTTTCATTGTAACCGGATCTTATAAAAAGACCGGATCTTTTGTAACTCAAAAAGTTATAACTCAAGATGACAATGGAATCAATAACAAAGAAAGACACGATTTTTCCCGCGAACAATCTGGCGACCACAGTGGGAGTCAACGATCTCGCTGCCGAGATCGTTGCGTCGCAGCCACGGATCTCGATCCCGGTCGAGGAGGAGGTCGATGCCGAGATCGTTGCGTCGCAGCCACGGATCTCGATCCCGGTCGAGGAGGAGGTCGAGTATGAGTTCGAACAAACTAAGTTCGAGGAATACTTGTCCTCGTCTGGATCAACCTCCCTCCGCAAGCCCAAGAAATCCCAGAAGTTCTCCTCCAGGAGAAAGGTTCGTTGGTATGAAGAAGTCGAAGCCACCAACGAAGATCTCGCCCCGTTTGATGCCAAAGTCGCATCGGGTGAGATTCCTCCAGTTTCCAACCAAGTCAGATCTGCTCTGGCCAACTCTTCTGCCACAGAGGGCGTGGTGACTATCTCGAAGAGAGCCCACCAAAGGCAACGTCAACGCCTTGCGAAACGATTCGCAAAGGCCATGGAGTCAGTTGACGGGATCCGCTACAACGTGGATCTGAAGAACAAAAGAGGCAAACAGCCTCAACAACAGATGAACGGCACCTCTTCCAAGCCGCCAACAATGGAATGGATCCGTGTCAAACGGAATCGTTCGACGCTGGAAGAACGCATCCGCAAACGCCGCGCACTATCAGCGCAGGCACGGGCTCAAGCTGAAGAAGCCCGTAGAAAGCTGCAGAAAGAGGTGGCCAAGAAGCCGCCATCAACCCGAAGTCTGAAGCGGCGGTTCAGACCAAAAAGCAGCAACTGCAGCCTCCAACCAAAATTCAACCTCCGGCGAACCACAAGCTAAGTCCGAGAATTCCCATAGCTACTCCGGGAGATCATGCAGAAGCCTCCCGAAGGAGAAAGCTAGTCTTGGAGCGCCTCGGTCCAATTCCCGACGAGAGAGGCAAGGCTCCAGTTCACGAGCGTTTGGGCCCGATGAAGAAGCCCAGAACGATTAAACACGCTGGGGGTCGCCATCACCTCCATAGTTAACTGGGATATTGTATTATAAATAGTGATTAAAACTTTCAGATTGTAAACAGTGATTAAGTCTTTCATTATATTTATTATCAGAGGTTGCAGAACTTCCAGCAGAGAAGAAATCATCTGCTTCAGCTGATAGAGGTATATATATGGTTGAAAAATTGCTATATCAGATAGTTAGTTCAATACTACAAATATTTTGTGTGTATTATTTGCAGATGCTATCCTTGCAAGGGTTGAAAATGAAAAGAGAATGTCTTTGATCAAGGCATGGGAAGAAAATGAAAAGGCCAAAGCTGAGAACAAGTAAGTTGAGAATCTAGCATTTTATATACTTATCCTGGGATGCAGCGAGCAAACTTATCCAGGGAAAATGATGTTCACTGTAGAGAATAAAAAAAAAATTCCTTGGCGGGTAACATGGCTTAGACACTTGTTTCGAGATGAATCTTAAATATAAAACGAACACCAAATTAATCTGTGAAATCTAAGCTAATTAGGTATTGATCAAATATTAACCAGCTCACGTACGCTTATCTAACACAGGTGGAAATCTTATCAGAACATCTTGCATGTGAACATGTTCTAAACCATACAAGATGAGGACGGAGAGACAAACTGGAAAATTGATCCCCTCGTGTGTGGTTGAGAACATTTAACTCGCATGTGGAATGTTCTAACGGGATTCGTATAAATTATACCAAGTGTTTTATCCAAGGCTTCGACATATCCTTCTTATGCTTAGAAATTAAAATTTCACTTCTTCACGACATTAAACAGGGCAATTAAGAACAAGTCATCCACTACCGCGTGGGAAAACTCGAAGAAGGCATCCATTGAAGCTGATTTGAGGAAGGCTGAGGTAAGCAACTATTAAACAATTCTATCTGTTGACAGCTCATTTTGCTAAACGAAACGACAGTTCACAATCGTCGGAATCAATAAATTAATACGCCCCTCCAAGCTAAGTTAATCTTGGACTTACGTGATCAGGAAAAGCTAGAGAAGAAGAAGGCCGAGTACGCTGAGAAGAAGAAGAACAGGCTTGCATTGCTCCACAAGGCAGCAGAAGACAAGAGAGCCATGATCGAAGCAAAACGGGGTGAAGACGTCCTCAAAGCCGAGGAAACGGCTGCAAAATTCCGGGCAACCGGACTTGCACCGACAAAGATCTTCGGCTGCTTTGGTCCTTGAAATTGTTTGAAGATCAATTAACTTTGAGGGAGGATTTTTTTTATTAGTTGGTTTTGTTTTGTTTTGTTCTGTTCTGTTCAGGTGTTGGATTGGAATTTGTTGTTCTTGTATATATCCATGTTAACTTACAAGGACAAAAGGGTTTGGTGATGTATAATTTTATGTTTTTTTTTCCCCTTTTTTGTTTGGTGATATGAAAGACGTTGGTTATTGTATTAATTTCAGTAAGGCATTTAATTGTTCTTTAGCATGATGAATGTGGCTATCAAAATGGTTTAACTGGGAAATTAAATGAATTTCTTCTCTTACCCTTAATAAAATGCCACGTAGGTAGCTTGCGAACATAAAAAGCCAGGGTCCACAAATAACAAGACGTTGTCTCGGATGTGCACGATTCCATTGGGAATTTAGAGCAGGAGACCAGAAGTGAGAGCGCCTATTGAGCCTCTAAAATGTAGCCTCCGTCAATTTGAGGTCTATGCTGCAGTCCTTGCCAAGTGAGTGATACACTCAATCCCTCGCATATTGAATGCGCCGTATTTATTGCGGCCAACATGACATGATGAGAGTGCAGGCACTCTTGAGTCAAAAGCCGAGGACCTACCAACAACTCCCACTCATCTATTGCCCTAGTAGACCCATTTGACAGCAAATTCTATCAATGCTGTGAGACCCCTAGGTGTTTAGTCTCATTCCCGAAAAGTGTGAAATATTTGAGTGGCTTAAATAAATATGCCCAAGGTTTAAGTGTAATAAGTGCCCGTACTTTTGACAGTGGATTTAGAAACAGCGCGTTACACTTGGTGAGTCCCACGGTTTATATGGTGCCAATAGGCTTGCGGGTCTGGGGCGTGATGAAAACACCCGCATAAAATAGACGCACTTGACGACAATTGCAGATTCTATCAGAACACTCATATAACATAAAAGTTTTTGGACATGGTAGAAGTTCATGAAATGAAACCTGCAAAAACAAATAGGAAAAGGAAAAACTTCAGGTAAAGCTCTTCATGTATTGGCCAGATATCATTTTGAGTGTTCAATGTTTGAAACGCATCACTGGGGGTCCCTAAAGCTGCCTCTATTATCAGCCTAAGTCCGTTTTACAAAATTATGTTAAATTTTGCTGACATAGAGATAATGTAGCATTGCCATGTCACTATCACGTCACACAAAAAATTAGTGCCATTACAAACTCAATACAAACTTGTGATTTTACTTTTTGTCAATGTAAGAGTACTGATGTGACATGATAAACTTGGATTTTCACTAATTTTTTGCTAACACGGTAGTACCACATCACCATCACGTCAACAGGACTTAACGTAAGTTTGTAAAAAGACCTACATTGATGATAAATATAACGTTAAAGACCCCCCTCCCCCCCGACTTCCAAATGTTAGGGAACCAAAATAATATTTGGCCAATACTTAGGGAACCTTTTCATGAAACTTTTACCATAGGAATATCACCTCTTCACATGAGAGAGGAAGACTCATTACACAAACATCTCCAACTATTTCCTTTATTCTTCATATTTAATGGTTATCTCCCAAGAAAACCACTGTAACTCGAGCATCAGAGGGACAAAAAACTAGACCCCCACCCTCCCTCGTTTGTCTCTGGCTTGCAGAACTGCAAGGACGTCGCCAACGGGCCGGTCTTTCTTAACCGGCAGAAGCTTTCTGATGCACACCTGAAAGTTGGGGCTGCATCAACAAACATGAACATTTCAGTATTTAATACAGCACAAGAGGTTAATTAAATGTCACGCCCCAGGCATGTTGGCGCGCACAAGCCGTGGGACCCACAGAGAGTAACTCGATGTTAGCTAAAATCCACTGGCAAAATACTAGCACTAGTTGTTCTTAGGCCTTGGGCTTCTCTATTTAAATCACTAACATTTCTTCACACTAGTCCATGTGGGACTAAAGTGGGGGTGTCGTAATCACCCCACCATACAAAGACGACGTCTTCGTCGTCACGATATGATAATTGACACATCCCAGTATCACTGCCAGTCGATGTATGTTACGCCCGACGGAAACAGACTCAATGCACAACGAGTCGGTAAGCAATGTACGGAGAACAAACCGAACACAATCCATAATATAAATGGCCAAGGTCAATCGTAAACACAGAGAATTATGTGGTTCGGCAAGATGTCTACATCCACGAGGAGAGGATGGGTAGATTTCACTAATGGAGGAGAAATTTAATGAGTTACAACTCTCAAACAATCAAAATAACCCTAAACAACAAGATCTCACTCACCTACAAATAATCTCCCTCTCAAAGTGCTCAAAATAACTCTTTTTCTCTGATTTACCCTAATAAAAAATGTTTCTTCTATTTATATAAAACTTCAATCCAAAATAGTCTGTGAAACGGTTTTACTCGTTCAGCCCGCTATCGGTCGACCGAACATCTGTATCGGTCGACCGACCAGAGAAAATTTCCTCTGTTCCTGCTATGCATATGTTCGGTCGACGATACAGTTTTTCGGTCGATCTACCATAACGAATTTTTATTGCTGTTGATTTTCTGATTTTCACCTCTTTCAACAATTCTCCACATCGGCGAAGTGTTTTCAAAACTGAGCCGGCACCAACAAGAACACCAATGTGTCGTCTCTCCAAATCCGGCTACATCAATGTGGTTGCCTATGTATCCCTTCTCCCAAGGATCAAGCCGCCCGTAGTTCCTCTAAATGGCCTCAACAGGCTTCAACAAGCACAAATTTGCAGCAAGTTTCTACAGTGATCAAACTTGCTGCTAGGGACCACCTTAGTGAGCATATCTACTGGATTGTCTTTAGTGTGGATCTTCACAAGTTTCTCGTCTCCATCTTCAAGAACATCCCGGACGAAGTGATAGTGAACGTCGATGTGCTTCATATTCGCATGGAAAACTTGATTCTTCGCCAAATAGATAGCACTCATGCTATCACAATGAATGGTGACAGTTCAAATGGGCTCTCAAATATATATTGACTGGCTTTGTATCCATACTAATATTGAATCATTGTAACACCTTTTTCAAATAAGCCACATGTGTTAAACAATTTGGCCCTTATCTCTGTTTCTATCGATCTCCATCCCTAAAATGCACTTTGCTTCACCCAAATCGTTCATTTCAAACTTTCTTGAAAGTTGTATCTTCAATTTATCTATGGCGGATCTTGAAATGTAAGCAACCAACATGTCATCGACATAAAGAAACAAATAAATGTATGCACCCTATGAAGCTTGCGATAGTACACGCAATGATCAAACTGGCTCCTTATGTATGACTTTCCGAGCATAAACCCATCGAATCACCTATATCATTGTCTTGGAGATTGTTTCAACCCGTATAGCGACTTCTTTAATCTACACACCAACTTTTCCTTCCCTGCAACTCAAAACCCCAATGGCTGAGTCATATAAATTTCTTTTTCAAGATCACCATGAAGAAATATTGTTTTTACATCCAATTGATCCAATTCTAATCCATACTACACCACCAAAGCTAGTAAGATCTGAATAGAAGAGTGCTTTACCACCGGAGAGAATACTTCATTCTAGTCAATTCCTTTTTCATGTGCCTAACCCAATAGAAGAGTGCTTTACCACCGGAGAGAATACTTCATTCTAGTCAATTCCTTTTTCATGTGCCTAACCCTTCACTACTAACCTAGCTTTAAATCTCACTAGAGTGCCTTGAATGCCCTCCTTTTTGGTATACACACATTTGCAACCGATCGCCTTTCGCCCTTTTGGAAGCTCGACAAGCTCCCATGTGTTATTCTTCTGAAGAGACTCCATCTCTTCCTGCATAGCACCCTGCTACATATCAGCCTCTGAATACTGTAGTGCCTCTATTATCTCACTGGAGGGCCTCTATTATCAGCCTAAGTCTGTTTTACAAAATTATGTTAAATTTTGCTGACATAGAGATAATGTAGCATTGCCATGTCACTATCACGTCACACAAAAAATTAATGCCATTACAAACTCAATACAAACTTGTGATTTTACTTTTTGTCAATGTAAGAGTACTGATGTGACATGATAAACTTGGATTTTCACTAATTTTTTTGCTAACACGGCAGTACCACATCACCATCACGTTAACAGGACTTAACGTAAGTTTGTAAAAAGACCTACATTGATGATAAATATAACGTTAAAGACCCCCCTCCCCCCCGACTTCCAAATGTTAGGGAACCAAAATAATATTTGGCCAATACTTAGGGAACCTTTTCATGAAACTTTTACCATAGGAATATCACCTCTTCACATGAGAGAGGAAGACTCATTACACAAACATCTCCAACTATTTCCTTTATTCTTCATATTTAATGGTTATCTCCCAAGAAAACCACAGTAACTCGAGCATCAGAGGGACAAAAAACTAGACCCCCACCCTCCCTCGTTTGTCTCTGGCTTGCAGAACTGCAAGGACGTCGCCAACGGGCCGGTCTTTCTTAACCGGCAGAAGCTTTCTGATGCACACCTGAAAGTTAGGGCTGCATCAACAAACATGAACATTTCAGTATTTAATACAGCACAAGAGGTTAATTAAATGTCATGCCCCAGGCATGTTGGCGCGCACAAGCCGTGGGACCCACAGAGAGTAACTCGATGTTAGCTAAAATCCACTGGCAAAATGCTAGCACTAGTTGTTCTTAGGCCTTGGGCTTTTCTATTTAAATCACTAACATTTCTTCACACTAGTCCATGTAGGACTAAAGTGGGGGTGTCGTAATCACCCCACCATACAAAGACGACGTCTTCGTCATCACGATATGATAATTGACACATCCCAGTATCACTGCCAGTTGATGTATGTTACGCCCAACGGAAACAGACTCAATGCACAACGAGTCGGTAAGCAATGTACGGAGAACAAACCGAACACAATCCATAATATAAACGGCCAAGGTCAATCGTAAACATAGAATTATGTGGTTCGGCAAGATGTCTACATCCACGAGGAGAGGATGGGGAGATTTCACTAATGGAGGAGAAATTTAATGAGTTACAACTCTCAAACAATCAAAATAACCCTAAACAACAAGATCTCACTCACCTACAAATAATCTCCCTCTCAAAGTGCTCAAAATAACTCTTTTTCTCTGATTTACCCTAATAAAAAATGTTTCTTCTATTTATATAAAACTTCAATCCAAAATAGTCTGTGAAACGGTTTTACTCGTTCAGCCCGCTATCGGTCGACCGAACATCTGTATCGGTCGACCGACCAGAGAAA